GCTGGAGAGCTGCCCGAAGACAGACATGTGTTGCTTCCCTAGCAGTGGAAACTCCAGGAGGAAAGAAATCCCCAGCAGCTGCATTCGGGCCGTGTGTCACAGCTGAGCGTAAAACCTCAGCGCAGTCTGGGGAGCTGTCACGTCCGACGGTCCAGCCTCTGATGGAAACGGGAAAAGTCAAGTAAATGAGATTCACGGAGCGTGCCGGGAAGGTCTCTCAGCTCTTCGGTTTGGCGTGGGCAGGGCGCCTTGCAGGGCAAAGCAGAAATCCTTCCTCGCTGCTGGCGTTTTGGGATGGACCAGCTTTTCCAGCGTGGGAGTGGGATGCCGGCAAAGGGACGCCTCACAGAGGTCCTGCTGAGGCAGGAGCGCGGCAGCCTGAGTGCTTGGCTGAGAAAGCATTTGATTCTGGGCTCCCCCCTCTGCCCAGGCAGCTGTTGAGTGTTTCCATGGAGGTCACAGCGGGCGTCTGCCAGCTGGACCCTTGGCTGTTGGACATTATGGAATAATCGCCCAAGTGAGAGTGACAGGAACGCCTGGAGAGGCCTCCGCTGCTCCAGCCTCCCTTCAGATTACAGCAGCTGCTCCTCTCCGAGCTCCCAGATGGAGTTCTGAAGGCATCTGTCTGTTAACACCTGCAAGATGACAGCTGGTGTGGGGCCTGAGCCGGCTGCAGAGCCCTCAGTTTCCCCAACAAAGTGCAAAAGGTGTTTGTGTTTTATTGCCGTGCAACTCAATTCCTCCTCCTGGAAAATGCGAGGATGCGAATTCCACCCAAAAAAAACCTCCCAAAACAAACAATGAAAGGGAGGAATTAAAATGATGCACCAGATATGAGGTGGTCAACCTCAAGAAAAAAAACTCATACACATTTTACCATGAAGTGACATACTGTTCTCGCCAGGCCAATATGCAAAATAATGACTGCTTTCAGAAAAAAAAAAAAAAAAAAGTTGAAATTCATCTGCAAACTAGCAAAGCAATAGGGATTTATTTAAAAGAAAACATTTAGGTACCAAAACTAGACTAACAAAAATAAAAGTGCTAGAGAAATGCAAAATACACCATGCAAAGTTAAGGCTTCTGAGCTGAAATATGTATCTATTTACCACAAATGCACTGCATCAAAAGATGTGGATGGAATCTCTTTTGGCTGTATCTTTTGCTTAGTACTATAAAAACACCCTCTTTGTTGCAAACATTTCATTGTGGCTGCTTTTCAGGCTTCCTTTGACTGAAGGTATTCACTTCCCCCACCCCAGCCCCCCCAATTCATATAAATCCTTTAGTGGATATATTGCATTAATATGGGACTTTATTATAATTTTAAAAACCATTAAATGTTTCAAAATGTATTTTAAAAGTGAGTTGGTTGCATTTTGTGCTGCCTCTGTTGGAACTCTCCAAATATCTTGATACTCAATGCTGTTTTGGGTACTAACAGGCAAAAAAATTTGATGTGTCAAATGCTAATCGTACTTAAGATTTCTTTAAATTACACTTTCTATTGAATAGGTCTTAGAAGTCTGGCAAAGGTTTTGTATTTCTAAGCTGTTCTTTGACTTTTTAAATGACAAGGTCTGGAGTGAAACAATAATAGTCCTGGTCGGTGTGACCTTACAGGAAATCCTTTACTTTGTATCCGAGAACACAGTCACTGTTGGTAACTTCAAGCAGCTTTAGAAACATTTCTAATTTTCTTACACACTTACATCACTTGAAAAAAACTTCAGTACTAGGCTGGAAGTATTTCTTCTTCTCAAATTCAGAAATATTTCTCCTAAAAAAAACCAACAAAACCAACCAACCAAACAAAACCAAACAACAACAACAAACAACCCACAAGAGAGTAAGCAGAGGCTTTACCAAAGAGAATGTGTTTAAATAAGTCTCATGGCTCCTTCTCTCTTCCCCAGGTACCACCTGCGTGGGAGGACACAGCACTGCCTCCATCTGCCTTGAAGTCCTTCAGCACTGAGCTGTGTAAGCCCCAGTAAAAAAAAAAAAACCAAAAAAACCAACAACTACAAAATTAATCTAATAAATGCTTCCTCTAGTCCCTTGATAAATAGGCCTCTAATGCTAATTAAGCAGCTGTGCTGATTAATTAGATGATGTTGGCTGATAAAGCACAGCAGCAAGGAAAGGTTTTATTTCTTTTCTTTCCCCAGGAGGGTTGGGCTGTAGCTCAGGGGTGAGTGAACCCCTCAGTATCCCGGACACCTAGGTCTCTGTTTTGCAGAAGAGCCTGGGTGACCTCACGAAGGAGCAGGGAGGTGACTTGGCCAGGTTTCAGCAGCACATCTGGGATTTCAGATGCTTGGCAGCCCACAGCCCAGCTTGGGAAATGGGTGTTGTTTACATGTTACATGTTGTTAGGGTGAAGTTTCTCTTTATTCCTTCACAGACGATGCTTAGCAATGTCCCTATGGATGCTGCCATCAGATGCATGGAGAAGGAGCATCGTTCTCCAGTCTGGAGCTGGAGGAAAACATATATCCTGGTGCTGGGGGAGAGATGGCAGCAGGGATGGAGGAGCTCCACTCCCCTGCCAAGAGCCCGGTGATGGAAGCCAGCCTGGAAGCCCCTGTGAGCCAAAGTGCTCTCACAACCAGCTTTTGGTTTGGCAGGGGAGTGTGGCTCGGGGTTGTGCTGCAGTGCTGAGTGAATTTCCTCCCATTGTCCTTGGGGAAGTGCAAATGCCACAGAGGGAGGTCATTATGACCATCCCCTGGAAGTTCAGGCTGGGGCTGCACCTCCAGGCCCTCCACAGCTGCTCCCATCCCCCATGATCCTTTCTAGGGGTGTCCCACTGAGATTCCCTCTGCTCTTTTCTTTGTGGCAGAGGAGTTCTTATCCCTTCCTCATAGGGTAACTAATGCTGAGATCATTTCAGTCTTGGCAGAGGCGGCCAAAGAATGATAAAACGGAGTCAAACGACTCTAGAAGAAGCACTGGGCTGTGTTCCCAGAATTCCATGAGCCAGTACCACCTCGGGCCTTTCCCCTTCCCTTTCTAATCTTTCAGCCCTGTCTCCCTGAAAATTCAGAATGAGTCCCTTGGTATCCCTCTTAATCTGGTGTTTAAAATCTCAGGCAATAAAGCTTTCACCACTTCCCTTACGGAGACAGTTTTCCAGCCCGTGGTTCTCCATTCAAAAGCTTCCCACACGGATTCTCGGCTTAGACATGCCCTTCTGTAATTTCACCCCGTTAAAACCATCCATGTATCACCAGTCTTCTCCCTCCGTGCCACTTGCTTCATTCAAACATTTACAGATCACTAGTGTGTCCCTGCTTAGTTTACTAATTCCACAGTACCTATGACAGTTGGAATTTTTTAATTTTTTTTTCCCCCTTTTGTAAAGCCTCCAGCCTGCTGATTCCTTCAGCTGGGTCTCTTGGAGCTGCTTCCCTCTTGCAAATCCGAGGCAGATGCTCACTGCTCTTGCCTGTGTCCTTCTGCTCCTCTGTACTCCACCCAAACCCGTGCTGCCTGTTCCTGACTGCCGTGTCCTAACGCCTGTGAGCAGCGTGATGTCCTGCGGGTGATGCGTCCTGAGCACATCCTCCCCTGGAAATACAGATTCTGGATTTTTTTTTTTTTTTTCCTCCCCCAGAAGCAGGCAGCTGGGTTGTGGAGGTTGGTGTTAGCTCATGGCACCGCATGGGAAATGGGAGCAGGCTCTGGATCCGAGCTTCCAGCAGCCCAACGCAGAGAAGGTTTTATTTTTCCTTAGGTATGGATCTTACTAGTGTGTCCCCTCACGCTGACACCCCAAATAGTGCATTCACCTTCCTTGCAAAGAAAGTCTTTTACATAATTGGTGAGGAGTATCTTTAAAATACTGTTATAAAAAAGAACTACGAATTCCCAAACGCGCGGCTCTAGTTCTACCTGAACCCGTCTCTATTTCTCCCAACACAATGAATCCTTGTGAGGTAGCACGTGCTGTCTGTGTTTCCCAGCATGGTTCGGGTGGTGGTGTGGGTAGTAGATGCATACATGTTTCTCTGCTATCTGTGACTGGTTCTGTGCCACGAGCAGCTGCACGGTGAATGTTCAGCTCCCGAAACTTCCCAGGTGTTTGCAGCCCTGCTCAGGACTCGGGGAGTGTGCCGAAACGATTGCTGCGCCGTTTCCCAACCGCAGGGCGCTACCTGCAATGCACCGTGGGGTTGTGCAGCACACACGCCCCGGGGGTGCGAACCCATATGCTCCGATTAGGAAACACCAGGACGATGTTTAACGAGGGCGTTACAAACGCGGCACCGACTGCACACCCACGGCTCCCCCACCCAGCCCCCGGGGCTCGGATCTGAGTCCGGTCTCAGGCTCAGGCTGGAAGATCTCCGGAGGTCCCTTCCAACCCTGACGATCCTGTGATTCTGCGATATCGGGGAGCGCAGAAGCAGGATCGCCGGGGTCAGGGTTGGAGGCGATCAGTGGGAGATCAGAGTCAGAGAGTGCCTCTCCCGGGAGCGTGTGAGGGGCGCTGGGGCGTGCGGGTGACAGGGATAGTGACAGGGATAACGACCGGGACAGGGATAGAGACAGTGACAGTGATAGAGATAGTGACAGTGATAGTGATAGTGACACAGGGTCAGGGAGACGGTCACGGACAGTGACTGCCACAGTGACAGTGACACGGTGACAAGGACAGTGACAGTGTGAGTGACACGGTGACACAGTGGCAGTGATAGAGGGACGGGGACGCTGACACAGGGAGGGGGACACGGGGGCAGGGACAGTGACTGTCACAGTAACAGTGACTTACAGTGACCCAGGGACAGTGGCAAATGACACAGCGATGATGGCGCGGGCGCGGAGACACAGAGGCAGAGACACAGTGACAATGACACAGACATTCCCGTCCCCATTCCCGTCCCCATTCCCATTCCCGCTCCCGTTCCCGCTCCGGCCGCGCGGGGTCGCTGTGTCCCGGCCCGGCCCCGCGCGGCGCTCCGGGCCCGGCGGGCGGAAGTGACGGCGCGGCGGCCCCGGTGACATTCCCGGCGCTTCCCGGCGCTTCCCGCAGCTCCCGCCGCTCCGCCTGCCCATGCCCCGGCCGCTGCCCCCGCCAGGGAGCCCTGGGGGGGCCCTGCCTCCAGCGGGTGAGTGCGGCCGGGGGGGCGGGGGGGCGGCCGGAGCCCGCGGGGATGGGGTGGGATGGGATGGAATGGGATGGGATGGGCGGTACCGGCGGGAGTGGCCCCGCATCCCCCGGGACGAGGGTGGGTGCCCGGGGGGTGATGGGTGTTGCGGGGATGCTCCTGCTTCTCCTCCTAGTCCCGCCCCTTGTCCCGGCCCCATCCCTGGTCCTGGTGCCGCCGTGACCCGGCGGGTGGAGATTCCCGGTGGAAGGAAAGCTCCCGGACCGCTTTGTCTTTCACCGGGACTTTTATCAAAAAGTGCCCTTTTTAAATATATATTTTTAATATTTTTTTAAATTTTTTTTTTTTTTTTTTTTTTTGTGGTAACGGCTTTTCAAGTCGTGTGGGCTGTTGGGGGAGAGAAGCCCCCTTGGAATAACGGCGGGTGTAACTGCTCCGGGGCTGGCCTCTCTAAGGTCTTTTTGTTTGTTTGTTTGTTTGCTTGGGGTTTTTTTTGTTTTGTTTTGTTTTGTTTTGTTTTGTTTTGTTTTGTTTTGTTTTTGGTGGTGTATTCCATTGGTGGGAACCCCGGTTTTTATACGGAAAGAAAGTTCAAGTTGCTCGCCGTGCATCTGTCCCGGGTTCCCCTTGAGCTCCTGACGTCTAATGGGTTGCAGATGTGGCTCTGAGCCACACAGCATCCGAGGGGAATATAAAACTTAACTGTGCTACTTGTTCCTTTTTAAAAACGGGAAAAAAGGCAGCCTGGGCAGACTTGTAATATTTTAACTATTTCCTCAGTTCCACTACTGTAACTTTCTTTGCCTTGAGGTTATTGGGCAGCCACTTAAAAGGCTGCTTTTTAAAGACTTGGGGCTTTTTTTTTTTTTTTTAAGTTTACCTTGCTTCCACCTTTGTTAAGCAGCATCCAGTTGTCCTTGTTAACAGTGGGACAGGGCAACTTGCCTTAAAGTTTGTAGATACCTTGGTGAAACCATACTTTAAGTAACTTAAGTCAAACAGGGTCTTGGTTACGACTGGTTGTGCCCTTTAAACCAGCCCAAAGTACTGAACACCACTTCAAAGGCTGAAAAAAAACTTGTGTGTCAGGATGCTGTGGCATAAGACAGTCCTGTTTGGTTTATTTATTTTTTTCTTTTTGCACTGTCAGGTAATTCTAGCTTTTAAAAATGAATAAGTAAATCTTTGAACGCATGAACATCGCTTTAAAAAGGTAAAGTTTCTTTTAATTCCTCCCTCCTGGAGATGCTGTTTGGTTTTACATCTCCTCTGGTACTTGTCAAGCATCAGACAAAGTAATAGCTTTCCTTTTGGGCAAGGACTACCCCATTTCCACTTTTCAAGCTAAAAGTTTGAGTGCAAACAGTAATAGCTCTCCCCTTGGAACAGCAAACAAATGCTAAATTTAAAATCTCTCTCTTAAAAGTGTCTTAATGTTGCATAAGCCTATTGAAAACATGTTTGACCTTGAGATGAAAACTGAGTATGGTGCTCTTCTGAGGTCTCCATGGTGTGGTTCTCCTGCCCTAGTTAACACCTGTAATTGCTGTTCCTGTGGTACCAGAGCTGGAAGTCAGGCAGTCACAACAGCACAGCTTTCCCTGCTGCCCTGGAGGAGGGAAACGTGGCCTTTGAGGAGGGAAAAGGTTCTTAACAAGCTCTGAGGAGAACAGTAAGTTGCTTGTTGTGTGTTTGCTGAACCCAGACATCCCCTCCTGTGTATGTGGTACAGTACCAAAGCAGTGAGGTGAAGTGTGGAGAGCTCATCTGTCTGGCAGCAGTGACTTTTGAGCATTCTGAGTGCTTCTCACCTCTGCTGACTTAGGGCAGGCCTGGTGCTGGCAAAAGAAGCTCCAGAAGGTTGGGGCGGGGGGGGGGGGATGGTTATGTGGCCACTGAAAGCCAATAAAACACAGCTTTCTGTAGTTCTGGTGACACTGATGTTTTGTCTGGGGAAACAGCGGGGAGGGACCCTGTGGGTGATGGAAGGCAGTACGTGAGCCTGAGCAGCTGCTTTTCACCCTCCAGTGCGGGGATAGCAGTTCTGACTCATTTTCGAGCACTTGAATTTGTAATTACACCGTGTCGACTGTTTCTGTTTGCTCTTCAGCCTAATTGCTGGTCGGCATCGTGAAGAGGTGGGATGAGAAATTCCTGAGAAATCAGGAGGAGGAGAGGGCTGTGGCCTTAACACACTCAGGTGTGTGGTGTGTGCGGTGGGGCAGCAGCCCTCGGTGGGAATCACGGCGCACAAACCAGTCGGGGAGGGCGTGGATGCTTTAAACCCGGTCCTGCAGAGGGAGGGGAAAAGGGAAGGAACCTGAAGCCAACCACAAGGCAGTTGAGAATGGCCTTGACACACACGGAGGGCAAGCCCTGCTCTGACTGATAAAGGAGAGGTAGGAAGGATGTGTGGGTGCCTTGGACAAACGGGCGCTGTGGAGGAGGTGGGAATTGATGAGGTAAGGTGAGACTGAACCAACAAAAAGTAGATACAGATTGTCTTGAGGGGCTTTGAACACTAAACATCAAGGACATAAGTTGGTGCAAGCTGATCAGAGCAACAAGAAATAATTGCCTTGGCTGTCCTGACACTCCCCTCTGCTTCCCTCCTCTCCTTGATGTGTATTTTCCTTTGAAATGCAGGCTTCTTTGCGTGGATTCTGTTCACTTTTCTTCACTTTCTCTTGTATGTTCTCACATCAATTGCCTCCTGCACCAAGGATGTATGTGCCACCCATGACCCACCTGAATATCAGCATCTCACTTAAACAGCTGTTAATGAGATGGGAGTCTCTACGTACCACACAGTGAAGGTGGCTGCAGAGCAAGTAATCCACCTGGCTGGTTACCCTCTGACCAGAATACCACCATTACCTGGTGATATTGAAAGCTTTGCAGACTTCTTTAAATAAGTTGTTTCAAGCAACCTTCATGTTATTGTCTGTGACATTTCAGAGTTAGTGTGCTGATGGTACGCTTCGACAGAATTGGATTTGTGATCAATCTCAGCTTCTCGTTTTTTATCTGCAGTTGACTGACTTAAAAAACTCTAAACACTGGCAGAGGCTGAGCAGCAGAGTTAAAACACATTTACTAGACCGCAGTGAAAGATTTAAACACCCTAGCTAGCAGTGTGTAACTTGCACCTCAGAGCGAGCACTCTGGAAAAGAAGTGCTAAAACTTGAAATCCGTCTTTGCCCGCTTGAACCTTGCTAGTGGCAACGGGCAGCTGAAAATGAAACAGCACTGGGAGAGGGGAACAGGCACAGTGCTGGGAAAGAGCTCTGGGTTAAAGCACACTGGTTACAGTGTGTGCTGATGCTCTGAGGTGACCTGAGGCTTATGTGGAAAGGAAGCAGCTTTTGGTTTTCCAGAACCAAAATAAGTGTTCAGCACGTAAGTGGGAGTTAAGCCTTTAACTTTAGCACAGAACTGTTACCGATCTGTGGCAGTAGATATTATTGCAGGGAACTTGAACAACACAAATCAGCACAAAAGTCATAACTTTCTTCCACATCTTTGTTCCACGTTTTTAATGCATACTGCAGTCCTGAGCCTGTAAATCCAGTGTGTACAAATGTGGAATTCTAAGCAGAAAGAGAACTGGATGAAAGGGATTGTATGTGAAAATGTGCACACAGTGTAAATGATAGCCTCTGCAGTTGCTTTCTCTGAGCATGTCTGAGCTAAGCTGAGGGACTGATACCTTGTCACTTGCACGGCGTTACTGCTTAAGGGTTAGAATCTAAATGTGTGGTTGTCTGTTCCCACTCGTTAGCGTTGCCTCTTCCCGTGTCTGATCGGCCTGAATGGAGCCTGCAGCAGTTTCTCCGTGGCTGTGAGTGGCTCCCTGCAGTTGGGGCACACGTGGATTACTCATTCAGGACTGGAAATGAGATGTGGCTCCGTGGCGCAGGTGTTGCTGTTACACCGTGTACTGTAACAGCATTACTGAACTGCTCAGGGAGGTCAAGTAACTTGGCAGTGGTCACGAGGTGAGTCAGCTTTAGGTTCAGAGTGATCCATCCTAATATTCCTTTTTATTTAACAAGGTATTTAGGGGTTTTGTGTCGCTTTGACCATGTGGTCTGTCTGTCCAGCGCTCAGGAATGGATTGAAGTAGCACAATAGAGTACAGGCTTCAGTCTTATCACACCTTACGCTCTCTAAGACAGCTTAAAAGCTGTTAGTACTCAATCTGACAACTTTTGAATCATAAACAGAACATGTGGTCACTTCTTAATTAAACTCCAGTGTTTAGAGACAGACTCTTTCAAGCCAGCATTTTTGTTGCAATGTATGTGATTCATGGATTCGACATTATAGTGAGGCTTCTGTAGTGTCCTGCACAATGCTCTTCTGCTTTGATGCTTCAGAATTTCCTGGAAATGAGCAGGAAGAGCCAGACCTCGACTGGATAAGTGTTCCTCTTGCTGCCTTTCTGCTCTAATGTCTTGTTCTGTGGTGCTTGATCATTAGCATTTCACGACTTATTTTGAGAAGGCAGATCCAACATGGGTAGAGGCCAAGTGACTCACAGTAGCAGAGCTGGGAATAAGTAAGAGCCAGGCTTTATAATACCAGTTGTCTGCATGATGAAGCAATTACCGTTTCAGTAATTTGTTTTTCATTGGGAATATTGCATTTCCATGGCAGCGATGTGAGGTCAGTGCTGTGTGCTCCGATGGTACTGTCAAAATTCCTGAGGCAAAAAGGAATGGTGTGATAGCCAGGTAAGGTTGAGACGGCGTTGTTCTCTTGCACTGAGGCTTTCCCATCAGCTGGTAATTCTCCTGAATCCTCAGCTAGCTCCCCTGGTTCATGCTCTCTTGGAATGCCATCTCTTGCCAGAAGGGCAGTTCTAAATAATCAGGCAGTTTAGGGAAAAATGTTCCTGAAAAGTAGCTCAGGGAGGCTGTCTGCTAATTCGCAATTTGTGGTTGGAAATACAATGGTTTGGAGGCTGTCTCAACTAATTAAGCAAGTTGGATGAAGTGCTGGTAGTCTGGAGCCTCATTGTGTTTGATTAGAGGTCTTTTGGAAATTAAGTTGTCGTTGTGGGAAAGAATGGGCTCGTGGGTAGCAGTGCCCATGAGCCCATTGCTGATAAATACAACTTGAGTTGTCAGGGGCTGGGGTTCCTCCAGGGCTGGTAACACCTATTGATGAGCACTGTGCAGAATCCGTGAGGAGTCATAAAACTCCCCCCCACACATTTCTTTGGGCATTTTCTTTCTATTTTTTAGAAAGCCTTTAAGGCAAAATTTCATTTTTCGTGGCTCCACTTACTGTTATTAAGTAAGTCATCTTAAAAGGCAATTCATGGGCTTTTGATCTGCTCACTGTAAGAAACTGCTGAATACCATGAAACTAAGCTAAGGGAAATCCACTGAATATCTTGCCAGAGTTAACTTCATAAGCCCTCAATAATTAGCTGTAGACCTCACCTCAATTTCCCTTGTTTGTTTTACAGGAGGAAAGTGGTTTTTTCTACTTTTTAACATCTGTAGTGGATTTCACTGTTTGTCTGTGTGGAACTTGCCACCTTGCAGCAACAATAAGACTATGCTGAATGAATGGAATGGGGTTGAATTAATACTCCAGACTTGATGCTCTTTTTTTTCTTCTATCTATCCCTTTTGCCGGGAAAGCTGTTTATATAGTTTATGTCTGCTGCTGCTAAGGATTAGTTTTATGCTGAAGAAAGTTCTGCCAGCTGAGCCACTTTCTCCTAAACAGGAATAATAGTGCAACAAATAATTTTGGGGTAAATGGTGCTTTATTTATGGATAAGTAAGTCATGGGGGCTTTAGAGGGGGGAAGGGAGAGGAGGCGGTTGTGTGATGTTCTTTTTGCTCCTGTCAGTACTTGCAGGGCAGTGCTGAAAACTACCTTTTAATTTTCTTGGTATCCTGTTACATACTGTTGTTTAATTTCTGTAGTCAAATACATGCAAAGTTCTTCTGTGTGTTGTGGGAAAGAAATGTCTGTTTCCTGGTCTGTCTGTTGCCCTCTTGAAGGCAAGCTCAGATTTTTCCTTCTCTACTGCCAGATGGGAGCAAATACTGTAGAAGGTGTCTGATAGTAAAACCCATGTTAGAGGCATTATTCATAACACACATTGTTGTTTTGAAATACCCCAAGCAGTTTCTGTTCGTTTGTAGAACCATCCTGTGTTTGCTTCACACTGAGACCTGTGTCACAAGTGCTTTCTTCTTTGAGGAGCCCTTTGGGCACATGAGGACTGTGGTATCAGTTATTAGCAATCAGGGGGGTGGGAAAATCAATCAGCACCTCTTGTTACTGGCCAAAAACAGGTCAAGGGGTTTGGTGCCAAGAAAAGCCCAACAGGAGTTGGTATCTTCTTGTCGAATTTCATCCTTTGAATGCCTCGTGGCTTTGCCTCTAGTGTAGTGATACCATTTATTTTTCAGTGGTATTCCTGCTGAGGATTCATTTTGCAATATTTAGATGACACTGCTAGCTTAATAATTAAAGAAATTAATAATACTAGTGGATTTGTGGATGAGAAAATTACTTGGGGTCAGGGTTTGTCGGGCTTGCAGCTCTTGCCTGTAGAATTTGGGCGCGTCACCTGATCTTCAGTTGGCCAGACCATAAAATGGGTATGTTACTGCCCTGTGCCAGGAAGATACTGCTTTAAGGCA